GCCGATCGTTTAAAGGACCAGAATTTTGTATAACCCCAAAGGATTTTCTGAATTTTATATATGACTGGGTTTTGTTATAGACTTGCAAATTTGTCACGTTGCTCAATCTGAGACACCAAAGGGAATGCCATTTTAATGGACTGGGAAGGAGAGAGAGGGAAAGGGACATGGTAAAAAAAAGTACAGCTACACTACCTTAACGGAAGCTGTTGGTAGAAAACTGGGAGATTTTGCACACATTCCGCTGAAAAAGCTTGTGATTATGTCAGAAATGTCTGTGTGGTAATAAATTTCTAGGATCATGCCAATACTGCATACTTTCTTCTCGAAATGTTGCTTATTTGAGCACTGTTTTAGCGTTTTTGTGAATTTAAAAAACTTGTTTTAACATGCAGCCTTGTCGTAACTTCATCCCATTTAAAGAATACGTATTGTTGCGATTACTACCATACAAAGTTCGCTTATTACAACAAACAGTCTTTTCTGAACCCAACCGCCTTTATAAGTATTACTTTCCAAATGCGGCTGTTCACTGTAGTTCACACATTTTCGCTCGGTATCTTGTGGATTCCTGGTTTTTGCAGTATTTTTAGATTTACAATTCAATTTAAGATCTAAACTGGAAGTTGCTGAAATGGAAAAGATGCACATTGCTGAACTTGCAAGGGATATTTTGCTGAAAGATGAAGCAAAGAATCAGCAACTGTCTGAGCTGAGTGAAAAAAATCTTCAGCAGTCAGCGGTTAGATTTAGCCTACATTTTTCTTGTTTAACCGATATAAGAAAATTTCCTCTGCAGCTCACAGTTCGACCGCGTGCGACAAAATGGTCCCATATAGTTAAAGCCTTTTACGACCTTCCTTGAGACGGAATTCCATAAGCCGGATTGGAGGAATACTGTAAATGTAATGACAAGCAGCTGAATTGCCCATGCTTTACAAATAACACTGTTTTTTGCGCGCGAATCTCGAAATGTGAATATCTCTTTGAGCTCAACGCAAAAAGCAAAAAAGAGTGCACAAAAATTAAGCTGTCGAATATGAAGATGATACAGGCTGTTCCTATCGTTGCAGCCACATTACATGTAGACTGCGTTGGAAAACATTAAAAATGTTATGTCGAACAAATGGAATTATAACCATCTTTACCAGGAAATAAGAATGCGCGTATAAGGCATTAGTTGTCGCAAATTTCACAGCATTGCTGTTGTCCTTAGGGCATCAAAAAGACTGTCCCACCCCTTCACTTCGACTGTTTCGAGGGCTGTGATGTGAAAATGCGAAACCTTGTCACTGACGAAAGTTAAAGATCGAGCGCTGGATCGAAAGGTGAAGGGCTTATGTGCCTTCGTGATCATATAAGCAACCAGTTTCTTTAGTAGATAAGCAGTGTGTAGAATATTATTTCTACTGAACCTGATGGGCAGAATATGAAAGTCGTTTCACTGATAGCCATGTCCGCTGGTTTTTCATATCAGTAAGCAGTAACCATGAAATGCTGAAGGACCAATTAAATTGTCTTGAAAGACCCTGGTGTATGTAACCACACACATTCTCTACTAATTGGAGGTTTGTAGCTCAGTATTGTTGGGCCTGGTGCTGTTGCGACCGGCGTAAAATCACTGACATAGAATCTTTATACGAACTGCTTGCATCATCTTGATATTCTTCGTATACAAATTTTTTATAAATTTCGAGCAAGTCATCGGTCCCGTTAGCAGTGTGTTCTGAGGAATCACTGGAAACGAGTTTGCTTGCAGGTAGCTCTAACTTTTATAAGGAGTTGTTGGCTACATTTCAGGATATTGTTAGGCTGGAAGAAGTCTTAGCAACTAATAATAACTACATTTCTGCGATGGAGGATGAACTAAGAAAGCTGCGGAGAGAGATGGCTACTTTGATGGATAAGAAAACGACTGATTTTGATGAGTACGAACAGGAAATCTCGTCTTTGCGGGAACAGGTGTTGTATCATGCTTCATTAGTTAGCTTTTTGTTTGGGTAAAAAAGTATTCAGTTGCTTGCCGAACCTGCGACAGGCTCAGACATGGTGATGCGAGATCGGTTCGCTGATAGCTTAGTTGTTTTCTTTGTTCGGCCTTTGTTTGGCGGAACCAGACCACATATGATGCGCAGCATGCGTGGGTTTCAATAGTTGCTAGTTGAATAGCAGTAGCGACCGAATATCAATCGATATCATATGTGGTACGTGATCTGATTTTGTCTTGCTAACGACATAGCCTTTTTGGTAAAAACATCTTAGTTACCCTGCCTTCACCAAGAAACCACAGGGATAAGACTTTTTCTTGGGACTGTTTTTTTCAGAGGCAGCTCTTTGATAGTTCATTTTGAATTTCACGATTTTTTGAACTGTGTTATGGCTGCCTCGATAAGAAACACGGACTATGACCTGTGCCACTACTGCACTGTGCTTTTCAATTCTAGAACAGTTTTCTAACAGAAATAGAAACTCGATGTGGAAACTGTCATGGACTGCTCACAGAAAATCGGCAAAGTTCTACTAGTGCTTGGGGCAGCAGTAGATGTCCGTGTCTTTTAGCTTTGGTACCATGCACTGAGAACGGGTGGTGTATTACCTCTACAAGGCACTGAAAGAAGTGCCGCAGTGAAAGTGGGCATCATCTAGCTTTGCCCAGACGTGCTAGTCCAAAAGTTTCGTTTATAGTGGAAGCTGGTTTGATTAGTAATCATAATTACAACATGGAGCTTTGAAGATGACCGAAAAGAACACCAATTTGAATGAAATGATGCAAGAAGCGCAGCAGTTAAAGAAGAAGTTAGCGATGAAAGAACAGGAGTTGCAGGAAGCACTGAGGAAGACTGAGCGAACACAAGATACTAATAGTGAGAAATGTAATGATAAAGTGGTACGCTTTTTTCTTTGTTGGAAAGAAAGATCGTTGCCTGAGCGCCAAAATTTAGAACACTTCCGAATATACCTGTTTTTCACATTGAAGTGCAAGATTTCTAAAGCTCTAGAAAAGATTGTGTATTTCTGCTGAAACAAACTTGTTTACAATTAAATGAGAAGCATAATCATAATGGAGCTATTGGCGCGAGGAGTTTTTGCTTAGGGAAATACTGACGCTTCAGAAAAAAATTCGGAATCACTTTTTCCAGGTGATGGTAGGAATCAGTTTTGTGTGACCAGTGCCTTTACCCGTTTAGAAAAGGGTTTTTGCCTAGAGCACAGAATTTTCGTTGTTCGATACATGTTTTAGCTGGAACTGAAAGCAGAACGAAACAACTTGCTGAATGAAAATTCACAGCTGCGAAATCAAGTGGCTCGAATCAGTAAGGATTTGACCAACGAGCGTGCTCACGTAGAGGAGCTGACGGCGATTTGTAATGGTACTAGACGTGATATGAAGGTGCGA